ATTTTGGGGTCTAAAATTTTTTCTTGCTTGTGCAATTAAATCAATATTGTGTGTGAAATAATCTATTATGAACCATGCCAAAATTTTTTGTAAATCGTGTTTGGTATGTTGTGAAACGTCATCTTTCGTGAAATTTTCTTTAATGATGTTTAAATAACTAGAGAGTAGTGTGATTTCATGTCGTACTCTTAAATGTTTAGATGTTTCTGTCGGTGAGACATTTGTTAATGGGAGTTCATTTTCTAATATCGAAATATAACTATATATTATTGCGAAAACTTCATTGGTGAAAATGGAGTTTGCTCTTTGTGAGTTATGGTATTGGATGCTTTTTATATATTCTGAAAAAACTTTTGAAAATTCTAAATCAAGATCGTCTGTTTGAATAGTATATGTTCTATTATTATGGTTTGGGGAAGTGAATTCTATAGAGTAGATTCCATACTGTTGTGTTATGTTGCATATATCTTTTAGATAGTGATCTATGATTTGTCTTTTGATTTTTACATCGGGGAACTCTGTTTTACATGGACTGATTCCGGGTTCAAATAAATTTACGAGTAAATTTTGACAAAATATGTGTTGTCCTCTATCAGTATCTGCATCTACTATAAAAGGAAAGATTTCATCATCATCTGGAGTTTCGTCACCTGGGGTGTGTGTTGAACTCATTTTTCCGTTCGATGACTGTTAATATGTAATTATTAATGTGTCGAATTGGTTGATTCCAATTGTATAAATGTACTGGTTTGTGTTTGTACTGTTTTTTTATTCTTCTTTTTCCTCTTTGTGATGAATTTGAAGTTGTTTCTGAGTCAGAAAAATATATTTGATCGTGAAGTGGGCAATTTTTATCTATTGATTCTTTTAGTTTGTAAAGTTCGTCTAAACTGTTGGTTTCTGATTCTGAAAATGCGTTTCGATTTTTTGAAAATCTTTTTCGTGTTATTTGTCTTTGTTTAGTTATTATTTTCCTCTTTAGTGTTTGTCGTTTTGTGCGAATGTATCCAACTGTTTGTGTATGAGGTGTGATTACAAGATCGTATTTTTTGTTATCTATTTCACAATTGTGTAAAACGATTGTTTGTTTATTTCCTAGGTTTTTAAATGACATAAGGTTTAGGATGACGGATGCAAAAAGTTGTTAAGTGAATTCTAATTACTTAAACTGTTAGTCCTTACGATTTTTTGGTTAGCTTAACCTGGGTCTATTTGTTCAGGGTTGGAGAGAAAAGTATATCGATTCCGAAGAATGATTTTTACTTTCTCGTGACTAGTATAAGCTAAGGTGTTAACTTACTTAATCTTACTTAGGGGTAGTGATTGTGTTCAAGGGTTGGAGAATAGTAAATCGATCCACAAGGTTCAGGTATAATTAGAACGCGAGTAGTTCGTTAGATACTATTTTAAACTTACTAAGTCTAAGATTTATCCTGGGTCTGGTAAGAGGGGGGGGTCAAGTGAAGGATGAATAACCGAAGTTCTTCACTATTTATCCTAATTTGAATGATTAGTTTTGTTTAAAAATTTCTATTAGTCCTGGGTTTTTAGAGAAGGTTGGATAGTGAATCGACGTTTGAGGTCGTTAGACACTAATTAAGTGGGTGGGGGAGAACAAAGTTGTTCTGTTTGATCCAAGGATAAGCCTTGATGATCAAGTTTGAAATTTAATTAAGTAGAAAATGATTTAAGATCCAAGGATAAGCCTTGATGATCTGATTTTGAATTAAGTGACTTTAAGTTTTAATAAAGTTTTAAATTTGTGTAAAGGAAAGAGTCAGTGTTTTATGATGTTAGTGAGTTGATGATTGCTGTTATGTTTTAGGTGATGAAGCTGGAACAACAGGATGATTTATGATTACTAACCATTTATTGTCATGCTACTAATTTTTATTTTCCAATAAATATTTTTCAAACATGTTTTGTATAATACTGCAGAGTTTTAGGAAAACGATCTAAGATCTTTTTATCAATCGTTATTGTATAATATTAATTTTGTTTAGCGCCTGAAATGATTTTGAAGAGTAACTTCAAGGTTTTATGTTTGCAAATGGAAATCTAAATTCATTGCAAGTAGTATTCGAAATATAAAAGTTTGTTCTGGCTTTTGCCGAACTATCATATAACTATACGGCAAGTTTCTACTTTGTCGTATGTCGTCTTTGGTTCGAGGTCTTCTTCCAATTCCGGGTAGTTCTGTTATGGTTCGGAATATTGGCTCTGATCTATTGAGTCGGAGAGACATTTCAATTAAATTATTGTCGTATAACATTTTGTAAATGTTTTTGTCTAATTTCTAATCTAATTTTTGTTAATTCTAATCTAGTAAGGTCTTGTTCGAGACTTATGGTCGCACCAGATGAGTTAGGACTGGAGTGTATAACTCATAGAGTAATTTCGGATAGGGTACACCGTCTGCTCGTCACGCTATCTTATTTTCGGCCGGATAGATTCGTGCAACTTCTTAGTCTAATACCGATCCTAATCTTACTCTTATACTATCTAGTCTCAGGTTGTTTAACTAGTCTCTGCTAGGCTCAATAGATCTAGGGTATACTGGTTTATTGCGGCTGCTGAAGTGCTCGGGAGAGTCCAACTAATTTCTAAGTTAAATTCAAATCTCTCTGGTGCTGAAATTACAAGTAACTTCAGCACTTACAAATAAGTGGGTTGTTAGTTAGATGGATCGTGATTGGTTAATATTAAATACTTTACATTGGTAAAACATTTAATTTATCCAATCATAAAATGTAGTTTAGATCAGGTTCCAGACGGATGTTTAAAATGCAGAATATATATAAAATGCTGTTTAAAATGTCCAAATTTGTCTGTTGCAGTAACTATGTTGCTAACAGGGGCGTATAAAAGATGAGTTTACATGAGTCTTTTGAACAAAGTTATTTACGGGAAAAAACGTCTAGTACCCTGTTGTTAAACCCATGCTAATTTTGTTCCGACCGATTAAGAAAAGTGGATTTTCATTATCTTCTTACTTGTTTCCTCCAAAATTTAGGTATCACAAAAAAATCATTAAAAAAAGAGCGTGTAGCATTTAAGTCGTTACAGTAGGTAGCGATTGATTAAAAATAAAAAAGAGCTTCCTTTTAATTTATTTATAGTTTTACTTCGAGCGAGTATAGCGAGCTAGTGCAGCATATAAAAAGCTATATAAAATAAGCCGTTTTTGAAGTTGCATTTGCAAAACGGGATTCGAACGCATGTCCCTCGTGTTGAGAGACATGTGCCTAACCCACTTGGCCAGTGGTCGCGGAATCTTCAGAGCTCTTGCGCAGGAACTACGTGCAATTTTTATTCTAATATAGCCAGATACGCTCCAAGTGGGTACTTATCGTACCTTTTGCCTACCCTATCCATTTTAACAACTTAGATCTATGTTATGATCCCAGAAACAAGGCAAAATTTCGTATTTTTTCTGCAGAATTAACCCGACAACAATAGACAGACAATATTCTACATTAGCCGAAAATTTCCGGTTCGCAAAAAACAGGTCTCGACTGGAATCGAACACTTGGGATTTGTCGTCTCAATCACGGGTGTTACAGCAACTTGGAAAAGAGCTGAACCTTCAAAAACAAGTCGGGCTACAAAAACTAAGCCGACAAAATAAGCAGACAACGATAGTCCGAAAAAGCACAAACTCTAGTTTATAAAAAAAACGTTCCCGGCCGGATTCAAACCACAATACTTTGCCGTCTCAAGCAATTGTGTTGGCTCTACGCTATATGCGCCAGATGGTGGATTGAGTTTGAATTTATAGTTACCAAGCGGTAACAAAGCCGAAAATGACTAAGCAGAAACCCAAAAAAAATTAACAAAGAAAAGATTTCAAGTCCCAATTCCCCTGAGAAGATACGCATGCAAAAAAAAATTCACCCTCAAACTACGCAATAAATGGCCACTAAGTCGATATAAAATAAATCGAAACCTATTGCACCAAAATTTTAGATAAGACCGGATATTTAAAAAATGCTCAAAATATGTTTGTTGCAACAGAAAGGCCCAGTAGATGATTGAGTCCAGGAGATGATTCCTATACACCAACTTCTGTACGGGAAAAGTTTATTACGCGATTGCAATACTCTTGCTTTGAGCAAGGGTAATCAAAATGTGTGCAAATGTAAAACCTTACCTTTCGAGTAATAAATTCTTCTACAGTTTATAAGCAAAATTGGAGATCGGAAACATTGGACAGCTGCTTACATTCATTCGTATACAAAGGAATCATTTACACCTTTTAACAAAAAAAGACTGGTATAGACTGGTATGAGATACTTTGTCCAGTCACCAAAAAAACAATAATAAACAAGAACAATGATAGTTTTTTCAAATTATTGTCTTTTTTTAGGCGTGGTGTAATTAAAGGAGCTGAAAAACTGGGGATTAGGCATATTCGACAGCCATACTAAAATACGCAAATATAAAAACAATTTTTGTAGACAAATTACTAGAAAAAACAAAAGGATAAATTTTTTAAAATCTTCGAAAAAATATTCACGTTTTTTTTTGCAGTTTTTTTGAATTATTGAAACTTTTGCATCAAAATGGCATTAAAATACTCAAAGTAAACTAACGTTATCCAAGTAAAACTAAGTTTTTACGTTTTAAATTAAGCGTTGTTAGCTTTAAGCCATTGAAAGATTGCTCGCTCGCTTTATTCGCTCGACACAAGACGAAAAATCAAAACATCAAACCGGTTTGTCTCAACACCGGGAAAACTTTTTCAAAAATTTTTTATAAGGTTCAAATCACGACTGTAAGGACTTTAATATGACGTACCACATAACCCTGTCCGATCATTATTTGTGGTACCTGATTTTGCGTGGAAAACAAAAAAAAACACCTGAAAACAAAGTTCCTCCCCATTTTCAATGGTCGGAACAAAAATAAACAATAAGTAATGACATAGTGTTTATAAGCTACTAAAGACCAGCTCAAATTCTACACATTCATTCACATTAGAAACACATTTTTTTACAAACCTGTCATATCTTGTGAGGATATATTCGAAATCCAGGTAGACAATAAGACTACTACAAAGATGGGAAGATAAGAGGTAACACTTGAGATATAAAACTGAGACATTTCAGAGTCGCAGAAGTGTAAAGAATAATGAAGCAAAATTAAAAACTAAGTAAATTACACCAGATTACCAATGAAAGAGCTAACACGTACAGATCTTCTTAACTATTTTTAAACACGAAAATGAAAACCAGCATATCACATGGCGTGATCAACTTTCATTGCTGGCTAAAGTCGGTTACAATTGTCCACTGCTGTGATTTTCTTACCAATTAATTAAATTAACGCAAATCAGCTATGAACAGTCACAATAAAACATGTTTAAATCATTTCGAATATGAGCTTTTCCGGTACCCTTTCAATATTTTAAGCAACTTTTCGCTTAAACCAAATTATAGTGATCAAAATAAACAAGACAATGGTCATTTTTGAAAGTCTGTAATAAGTAATCAACACCTCAGTTCCACCGAATAAAATATAGAGTAACACTAGGTAGCAGGAACAGAATCCAAATCTGAGATGGCCTTTTTAGCTTTCTTCAATTCATCGTTAACCGTCAACAATTCCCTCACACGCGCAAACTTTGTCCGATCTTTCCTCAGCACAAACACTATATCTTCAATTGCAACTCTATTACCCGGTCTCGAACTCACGTCTTGTGATTTGTTCAGCAAATCAACTACAAATTTGATCACAAGTTGTTCGACTAACTCAACACTTTCTATATAAGGCGTTTTACTATCTCCCAAACCATACATTAAACTTCTTATTTCCTTTCCGAACATCCCTTGGTACTGGTTTGTGGACGCTACTTGTTTGTATCCACTAGTTCCAGGAGCTCCAGGGTTCCCAGTGACCAAGTCCTGCGATGATCCCGGGAGTCCGATTACTGGTACTGGATTCGAAAGTGTCATTGGTATTGGGATTGGTTTAAGTTTCAGTGGAAAACCAGCTCCAGACACTGGAGTCAATGATGAAACATTGTTCGACAAAGAGATGCCTGATTGCATAACCGAGGAATTAGATGATATAACTGCTCCACTAGATGACGCAATCGATAAATTTGGTGATGCAACAGATACATTTGGTGGCATATTTCTACTTGGAACCACAATTGATGATATGATGTTATTTCCTTGGGCGTTCGAAACCGAGATTAGATTTCTAGATGTTGCACCTGGTGTTGAAATGATTTGGAATGTCGTTTGAGGCTTAATGTTGGCTGCTGAACTTAATGAAGAGGTGGCATATTTCGGCTGTACTTCAACAATGTCATCGTCAGAATCCATGTTTTCAATCTGAAAAAAAAGAAAAAACTAAGCTTTTAAACCATTGAAGATAAAAAAAACTTCAAAGTTTTTGAAAATTTAATCAATGGCTTTGGTTAAAGTCTCATGACAAGTTTTTTACATCGGTACTTTATTGTATTACTTGCTTTGGACGTTAATGATCTGAAGCTGTCGCAATGTAACCCATGCATGAAGTGTACCCGGGTTGACATCCACACAAAAAATGCTTATCATACAACTCCATACAAAAAAGGTTTAACAAACAATTCCATGCAAGCATTCAAGGGAGAAAATGCCTATCATACAATTTCAAAATTGATACTACCCATTTTTTTCCATAATTTTTCCAGTTTATAATTAATGTAGAATTGGTGATTCTACTGTATTACATGCTATAGTAACCTGAGCGTAAGAATGATTCGTCATTAAGTTAAGCAGTAGAGCGAACAAAGGGTAAAGTTCGAAATAGTTCAATCTTCGAAGATATCGTCCCTCCTATGCCGAAAAACAAAATTTGACAAAATCGGCGAAACCCCCCACCCAAATTCGAATATAAGAAAGCATTTAATGTTATGAAATTCAGAGGAGCGATACTAGAGATGATTTGACTCGGGCATACAAAAATCGGGACCCCTCAGACCCTTGGGGGGGGGGGGCAAGTGACAACGGTCTCCGGAAGTGTAAATGGCCCTATCAGATCTCGGTAACTAGCGAATGGAATAGACTCAAATCCTAGTATGTTGGAGGCCTAGTTAAGGGAAGCTCAAGTTTGGAACCCCAGACCCCTAAGACCCCCACTTCCGGTTTTATGCCCTAAGTAAACAAACCCACCCCCAACTTCCGGAAGTCGTTTCTCGGCCTCCAAGGAACGCAGGAAGCTAAAACTTTGGGATACCTTAGGTAGTGGCAAGATACGTCTTGTGTTGTAATTTGAGCCAAATCCAGCCGTTGAACCGGAAGTTATTAGCACTTTAGAAAACCACCCCTTAAACCTGAAATAGGCAATTTACGCAAAATAATGAGCGAGGGAATATCGATTTTATGGCGGCATCAGATACTACAACGGACACCAAAAAAAGACCCCTAGCCAGTGAAAACCCTCCGGTGACTCCATCCGGTGTTAATAGCCTTTTCCCGGAGAAAGTGATAATGGACCTTAGAAATGGTATAACTTGTGAAATATTAATGGGATATGAATGAAACTTGGTAGTTAGGACCCCCATGGGATTCTGAACCCAAATATGGAAGTTTGACCCCAGTTGACCCCGGTGGGCGTTTAGGATTAAATATGTATAGAAAACCTCGGGATTAACACCGGAAAAAGGCGTATTACCCATCCCAATCCCTGGAAATGAGAATTGGTCACCTTGCTAAAAATTGGAGGAAAACTTATATATCGGGAACTAGAGCAGAAGCTGATAGAGATAGCTTTTACATTGCAACCTTGGAGTAGTGGATTTAATTCAAAGTGGACTTGGTAAAAAATGGGGTCAATTTAGCTTGGCGAATGCGCTATTAAGAGAGTACCAATCAGTGTAAAAGAAAAGTAGTCCCAGAGGAAATTGGTAGTAATAGAAGCATAGCATGAGAGTTAAGTTTCCTAAATAGTATGAACGGACGGGAAATTTACTTGGCTCTCCGGAGGTGACTTTTTGATTTGACCCCTAATAGACGAATTACGTTCCCCTGATAGCTAGAAGGTCGGGATTGGACTAGAGTACGGATAGAAAATTTGGATGCCTGGAATTGGTTAGCTACCCATGAAAAGGGCCTCCCACTACACTTGGGAGGTCGGAACGTTAACGGGATAATTAAAATAAAGACCTTGGGAGGATTACTGAGTAGACATAGCATGGTTTGGAGGTTGAGTTGAATTCGAAAGCTGAAGTGGACAGAGTTCAGGAATTGGTTGATTAGAATCGTATGACATTTGTTTGCTTGGTCAAATTGTGACAGCTACCGCATACCGGGTGTCTAATAAGCGTGAAAAGATTGATAAAAGAAACCGAAGTTGGCACGTGGCAGAGTTGACAGGTGGAGGGATATCATCTTAAAACATGTGCGAACGAGTGATTTAAGCGGATGTCAGGACTGATAGGGAATGACGTGACTTAACTAAAACTAAGTGTAAAGAAAGATAAGGAATTGGAGGGTACCGGAGAGCCTGTAGGAGTCAGAAGAATTATTGCCAGCGAATCGAATAGTTGGTTCTCAGTTAGTTAGAGAACAATTTGGGCTACAAGCTAAGGTAGTTGCTTGATTCTCAAAGTAAAGTAAGAACGAGTTGGAAGACTTGTTAATAAGAATCTAGATTAGTTAGTGAATAATGGTCAGGCTATCTAGAGGATAGCAGAATCGCTGTTGAACGATTGATATTGAAAGAAGTTCTCGAGGAGAACGTTAGTTAGTAGTAAGGTGTTAATTGAACTGCAGGAGGCAGTTGGTTTAAATAATAGTAATCGCGAACCCCTTTCTTTAATTGAATGATTAATTTATATTTCAGCCAATTATAGGCTACTCTGTATTTGGTTATATTCATTTCTTAATTCATTCTTATTATTGGATTTATTGTTGCGATCGATTATTGATTGACGGGTGGGATACAGTCGGAAGAGCACGAATCACGGGGCGAGCAGCAAAGTACACTACAGAGCAGCCAACCACCAAATCAACCCTTTTGGGAACGTGAACAGTACTGGGAATCGGTTGCCCCGCTGACCTCGTTGCCAAAGGGAACATATTGCGGCGGTGAAACAGCGAGCAATACCGGCCAGGAGATATTGTGAATTCCCCCACGTTTACAATTAAATAAGATCTTATTGGTAACCAAAATCTTAATTTTTTGGAGCAAAAAATACTTATCATAAGCATTTTTTTCATGCAAATTTTTTAATTCAGAAATCTTTCAAGTATAGATAATCTCAAACTAATTTTCTATTTAATGATATCATATCGGTCATGAAAATCAGCGATTCGACACAAGGTTTATGCACCACTTCTTAACAATCTGGGGCATTGTCATCGGGGGAACTGAATTCGATTTAAGGTTCACAAACTTCGAAGGAAATAAGCAGCCTTTTTTTAGCTTAAAATATAATTGTTCCATAGAAGCTCACTGTTACTTTTTTTCATGCTTTGACTTGATTTCCGTTACACATATTCACACTGCACGCACTCCTGCATGATGAAAACCTTTTGGTTTTGCGCAAAATAAACAGATTTTTTTGCTAACTTACAAAAAATATTTTTAAAAAAATATGTTGCTACTTTTTTACCTCGCTAAAATATAAATAAGCAAAAAACATCTAATGGTAAAAAACCTGAACTCTTTTCTCTTCTTTTTTTAAGGAAAAAAAGCCAAAAGCAGAGCTTGCAAACCCAATTTTTCGCTTTTTTTCGATTGTTAGTTTTAGTTTTCTCAATTTCTCATGAATACTTATTACTTTAAGTAATTTATAATCAAAAAGAATGTTACTCGTCTTTACAACGCTTTACATAACTTTTTAAAATTTCAAACAAAAGTGACATATTTTTGCTTTTTCTTCAAAAACTCCAAAAATTATCCGATGTCGAATGGTAAAAAATGAGAAACCAATTTTTCATATGAACAAGTTTTTACATGTGCAGATTGGGCTTGAAATGTCGATTCCAATAAAATGCTGATTCCAATGACATTATTTGGTATTATTTTTGGCATTTTTTTTGTTTTCAGATCATCTGATGTCTAACATGTCGTTGACTTATTGAATGCTCGTAAAATACCTGAAGTTTGTTTAACGCTAGTGATTGTATTTTTCTCGTCTGCTTTTCTGAGATTAAACTTTTCATATTTCCAAAAAAATGTTGTTTTTTTCTAGTTTTTTTTCGCCCTAGTTATTTTTATCTCACAGTCTATAAGGCAGCTTGCAAGGCTACGCTTTCGTTGTATCGCAAGTGATGCGGAACTCCGCTTAGCCTCTATGTTAAATGCTTTAAAATTCTCGTTTTTTGTGTAGAATTGTATGATTAGAATTTTTTTGTCAACCCGGGTAATCACAAAGAAAATTTAATAAAAAGATGAATAAGCCAGCAGAGCTATAACAAAAGTTTTTGTGAGCCTATGGCTAACAGACAATGTTAACTGTGGGACTATTTTCTGTGACTGCCAGGTCAATTTCATTCTTTGTAACGGCTACTATTTACAAATATCATTTATAATGCCAGCATGGTCATTTTGAGAATTTCAGTACGTACATCTGAACTCATTAGCAGAACCTCGAAAGATTCGGAAATAATAGGTACTGCCATTAACTATTTGCAAATATATCCTCTGAGCGAATTGAAACAACTTCTGTCCATGAAACCTCAGTTGCCAATCATCATCATAGTCGGTTTGCCACCCTCTTCTTGGATTCGTAACAGCCATTGTTCTTTTCATCAAACATGGAGACAGTTAATGGAATTGGTAACACGGGAATGTGGCGTTCTCTACATCCATCATGTCAATCAAGAAGTACATAGTGCCAGCCAGACCTTCAAAGAGAGAGTAGGGTCTGTCTGCTGTTCTGTGTTCCACTCTGTCCATATCCACACACAACTGAGCGAAACAGACTGCTCTGTGGAGGTGACTCAGATCCCGCGTCAATCTAAATAAGCAAACGGTCATGGACATCCAAGTGTTATGTGGAAAAAATGACAGTATATTAAAACTATTGTTTCAGAATACAGGCATGGTAGCTGGATCTCTAAACTAAAAATGGGTATCGCGCTATCATTCTCTCTGAAGAAAACTTTTCAGGACAAAAAATTTCAGCAAGCAGATTGATCAAAACTTTTATAACCAGCACATCACGCATATTTAAGAAGAAAAGTTTTCTCTCCGTAATATTTGAAACAAATCATGCAAAATTTCAGCGACAAAAACACATGACAGATATTGTAAAAATGATTTGTTCAAAACAATCATGATTGACAAGAACACAGTAGCGTGCCGAGGGAGGAGGCGGGGAGCGATCCCCCTCCCCCTCAATTCATGTTGCCAAATTTTTCTAAAGGGTCCCCCTGAGATATAAATTTACGACACCCATTTTTGGCCGACTATCCTCAAAAATTTTCTAAAGGCTCATTTCGTTTTGTTTTTGCTTGTTTATTACAATAGGTGATAGGTTCAATTTAAATAACTCGATCGCTTTTTGTTATACTTCGCACATTAAAAATTTGTTTCAAAAGCCTAAAGCCAAACTTTATGGCAAAAAGTGTAAAATGGCAAAATGGAATAGCATTTGATCTGACAGATCAATATATTTACCAAAACTATCATAGTAGCAGTAATGAGAAACAGTCGGTCGGACAGATTGACCTTCAATGATAAACAGTCGGTTCTAAACTGCTCTTTTTGCTTGCCACGAATTTAAAACATCGCACACTTATTCAATGGCGAATCTCAATACTTTATTCGATGAAATAAAAGATACAGTAAATATTGATCCTAAATTGAAAGGCCTATTACAAGGGCTAATTGAGAATGTAAATGCTAAGGATGATATCATTGTTGGATTGCAAAATCGGGTGCATTTTCTAGAGAATAAAGTTAATGAAATGGAAAGATATAGTTCAAAAGATTGTGTTATTTTGCAAAATTTACCTTTACGATCCGGAAACTTTACCCAAGATGTCCTGACCTTTTTAAATGAAATTATGGGCGTGGAGGTGAACAGCTACGACCTGAAGGCATGCCATCCCCTCGGCCCTGTGAGTCAAAACCAAAAATGTGTGGTTATACTAAAATTTGTCTACTTTGATATAAAAAACAGAATTTATGGCAGAAAAAAGTTATTGAAAGATTTTTTGCACCCTGTAAATAAGCAACCAGTGTATATAACAGAGAGACTTACTCAGCGCGATTCAGAGCTTCTTGATTATTCTCGGGGTCTGGGAATGTACACAGTTACTTATAACATTGCTCCTCAAGTTTTCGTTTCGAAAGCAGATGGTGGATTTCAAAGGCACAACTTAGTTGATATTAAGGTTGCTGATCAAATTTTCAAAAACAAGAACCCAATGATGGCAAGACAGGCAAATAATGCTAGAAAACAAGATCCTCGTGTGGTACAAAATAATCAAAACAACTTTTCTCGCCCTCCTATTGTTTCAGTGAAGAAACGTGACAGAAATAACCCCGAATAATGTGGAAAGAAATTATCTGATTGATGAATTATACAGTAGGGTATCGGATCCCGTCAAATTGGTGCAATTTGTGGAATCACTTCAAAGAGATTCTCCACAGTCCAAATTCGCCAACAACGGAAATAATAATCATGAAAATGATTCTGATTAGTGGCAAAAGCATTTCAACTCTATTTACAGTTTTTTGCCGTAAATCTTTGTTTTCAATTTAGAAAAACCTTTTGCGAGATATGACTGACCAGACAACAACGCAAACAGCTTTTCTCCTAAATGTTCAATCCATAAGAGCCCATCATGACAAATTATCAGTTTTAATTGAATCCTTTGATAACAAGCCTGCATTAATCGGGCTGACTGAAACATGGCTCTCAGACAATGATCCTATTGGCATATATAACTTAGAAGTTTATGACAATATTGTCTGTTCAAACCGCGTAAACGCTAGAGGTGGGGGCGTTGCAGCTTTCATTAAAACTGGCCTTAACTATAGTTATTTTAAATTACCAGTCAGTTTGGAGCACATAGTTATCAAGATGTGTTTTGTCGATCACAGTCCACTAAATATTTGCATAATATATCGTCCACCAAATCTCAAACTAGAACTTTTTTGAATTTATTTGAAGATTTATTGCTTGAAATGAAAGCATTAAGCGGTGAAATTTTGCTAATGGGTGATTTAAATATCGATATTAAAGGTAGCCAGCGCAACTTTATTGACTACAAAAATCTTCTGCTTTTTTTTGACTTAGAAGTGCAAAACATCGAGCCAACTAGAGTAACAAAAACATCAAGTACATGTATTGATCATATAATTGCGGCGGAGGAAACTCAAGTAACAACAATAAATTGTACTATTAGTGACCATTATGGACTTATGTGTGACCTAAAAATTATTTCAGAAAAGCAAAACGTGGATTCATATAAATCGGATTTCAACTATGATTTACTACTGAATGATGACTATTGTTTAAAATTTTTATTTTCGCTAAAAAATCGATTGAACAAAATTAATGATGATGATCCTGACCTTTACATCATTGAAACGACCCAAATCTTGATTGATGAATTTTCAAAGTATTGCTCAAAAAAAATCCGAAAAAAGAATAAAAACAACCACCCATGGATTAATCTGAAAATTAAAAAAATGATGAATAATTAAAGTGTTACACAAAAAGTGGGTTCAGACACCATCCATTGAAAACAGAAATAATTTCGCCTCATGTAGGAACAATGTTATTAAGGCTATAAGGGTGAGTAAACGCCGGTACTATGATAACATGATAACGAGGAAGAACTCGTCCGGAGTTTTTGATGCTTTAAAACATTTTTGTGGTAAAAAAAAATGTGAATACTGCTTCGTTCGATGTTAATGTTTTCAATGAACACTTTGCTACTATTGTAGAAAAATTAACAGAAAAATTCAAACAAAACGTGTATAGACCAAATTTTCCAGTTAATAAAAACACGTTCGTTATATATGATACCAATCGATATGAGATACTAGAAGAAATTAAAAACTTGAACAATAAAAAGTCTACTGGTCATGATGGGATAAGTAGTAAAATGGTAAAATTTTCTGCTCCGGTGCTGGCTGACCATTTAGCGCTTTTTTTCAATATCTGCTTCGAAAAAGAGTGTTTTCCTAATTTTCTCAAAATTGCAAAAATTTTAACTTTGTATAAAAAGGGCGAAAAAACTGAACCCGATAACTACCGTCCAATTAGTTTGTTGTCTTGTATAAATAAACTTTTTGAAAAACTAATTTTCAAGCGCATATCCAATTTTGCCGCTAAAAACAACTTGATTGATAAGCATCAGTTTGGATTTCGAAGTAATCATTCCTGTACTCATGCCATTTTTTCCATTACTGACTTTTTTCGCGAATCAATTGATAATAAAAAATTTGGTTACTCCTGCTTTATTGATTTGAAAAAAGCATTTGATACAGTTGATCGGAAAATTTTGCTTGACAAACTTTATCAATATGGGTTCAGAGTGTAAATTCACAAGTTAATGACAAACTATCTTACAGGGAGAAAGCAATATGTTTATTCGAAGCAATCGGTCTCGAATATGCGAGAATGTACAAAAGGTGTTCTTCAAGGTTCAGTTTTGGGGCCATTTCTGTTCCTTTTATACATAAATGATATGCCGTCGGCCAGCAACGTTAAACTAAGATTATTTGCAGATCATTCAACGGTATTTGATGCTCAAAATTTTGCATCCAAAACGAAATTCCAGACCGAATTAAATAAAATATGTAATTGGTGCAATATTAACAAACTGCTCATAAATCAAAAGAAGTACAAAATAATGAAATTTGGAAGAGATAACTTAAATGAAATATTTTCTTTTGGTAATAATGTACTCGCCGAGGTTTCTGATTTTAGGTATTTAGGAATTCAAATGGACAACAGACTCAAATTTGAAAGTCATATTAATATTGTTTGTAGTAAATTAGCTAAATTTAACGGTTTACTATTCAAGGGTAGAAACTATTTCTCAAAAAATGTGCTGGTTAAATTTTATAACTGCTATGCAAAGCCACTCATTTCCTACGGTTTAATTGCATTTGGTGCAACATCAAAACGCCTATTAGAAAAAATATTTGTGATGCAAAAACGTATTCTTAAAACTATTTGTTTCAAGAGAAAATTTGAGCATGCCTCATATATCCTACATTCGTTTGAGATTGACACCGTTTTTGACTTATATTTAAGACAAATATTCAAAGAAACTTTTAATCAACTTCGTGGTAAAACTGCTCTTGAAACTTTTAATTTGGAAACTCTAAATAATCGTCGGGTTACTCGGGCCTATGTGGCAAAAACTTTACCAAGCATGAAAACTAGAACACAAATAATGCAGTGTACATGGAAAAATGTGTCTCTAAAATGTTATAATTTTTTGAAATCAAACGAGCTGATACCAGATAACCTAAACCAGTTAAATGAGCATCAACTAAATGGGTATTTCAAAAAAATGTTTTCTTTGTTTCTTAATGATAATGGAGATCTTCTAGATTTATTTTTTTTGAATCATCAAGTCGGATATTATCTCGCAACTTCTGTCATAGGTTTTTTCAGGGTCATGCCTCAATAAGCTGCATAGCTTTTTGCATGATCCTTGGTGGGTTTGATTTGTACATGCGGTTTATTGTTTACCTGTCTGTATAATATTACTCTCCTAAATAAACTATTCAAAACCTAGTAGCATGTACAATTGATTGAAAATGAAATGACTATTATGCATTATAGTTCTCAAAATCAATACATGCACTATACTCAAAATTACCACCTATTGTAACAAATCACCAATTAGGGTCTTTTTAGTATTTTCGGAGAGCTTCAAAAATTAAATTGGTCCACCTAAAAAAAGTCGACAAAATTTTCAAAATTTTTGGAAAACCCCTCTTTGGAAAATTTCTGCGTACTCGATTGCAAGATATTTTGAAAGTTTTCAAAAACAGCAAGTAGATTTGTTTTGAACTTGTTAGTCTAACTGGTAGAGTGCGATGAACGTGTATGCGTTGCCTGCAGTTCCGTGACATATTCCGAAGCCCTTCTTGAGGAAGCCCCTCTTCCACCCACACTCGCCACAGTTGATTGCCGCTTCTTTGAATTTCTCATCCCCGTACACCTGAAACTCTTCACGTGTTCTCAACTAATTTATATATCACTTGGACAATTGACCAACATTTAATTTCTGTCAATTCCTCTCATACAAACATCAATTTAAGCGTGCAATCAGTGGTTAATATTTATTGACATTTTCATCAAATAAATTATAATTTTAAAATTCATCCAAATACGAGAAATGTATTTCATTAACTTTGATCTTTTTATTAGGAAATAGACGGAAGTTCGACAGAATGACCGTTGTTGAGATATATGAAACTAATGCTAATTACCAAAACCAACATCGGATGTTTGAACAGAAAAAAACCTGAATAAAAATACCTTGTATGCTTCTATGAGTGTGAAGACAGCACTGGGTGCTCCGTGACACCAGTGGACCAGTTTGTCACTCTGGCTGCCAATGGAGGAAGGATAGTTGCCACTGCTCGTCTGCAGACTCACAAACCAGTACAGTGCATCTCTAAGCTCTTTCTGCAGTACCTGCAACCAGCTAAAATTGCTTGATCAGGAATAAAATTCGCTTTTCCGAAATGCAAAGAAAAAACACATCATCACATTAAAGCACTTTAATTTGATTATCACAAGTCTTCTATGGTTGACACTGAATCTGGTCAATTGGCAATCTTTTTGTTCCGCGGGAAATTTTTTTACAGAGAAGCGGAGCTTTGAACCACTTTTGAAAAACTAGGCGAAACTCTGAAGAAGAAAAAATTGTACGAAGTAATCGAGAACTAGATCTACTGCGTACGTTTTTTTTTTCAATCAAATTTAATTCGAATGAAAACATAATACAATTCTCAGCAGTGAATTAGCATGAAAACAAGAATTATAAATTGGCAACTAAGCCGACAAAACTTTGTTAATTGAGTTTTAAAAAAATTCTGTCATTACAATTTTTCAGTTATAGCCCTCAGCAAATTTAGCTTGCCATAATACCCAACTACGGTGTGCGGAGCTATAGTTTTTTCTCCCAGGTTAGAAGGTAGTTAATGGGATAGACCCAAACTTTGAGAATGAAAGTTTTTGATCACCTTTCAAACGACGAAATATGGGCCGACCGCTATCAGATTAGCCGAAACCTTTTGGGCCTACTGAAAATTTTACCCAGAGGCCAAGCGGAGCTTCGCGCCATGTGCGATACGAAAAAATTGCACGGCGGCTAGCCCAAAGAACGGAGTCGAAAAAAAAATATAAAATCAATTAAAAAACGGATTTTTTTTAACGTTTGTCTGGAATACGGTAAATTTAATGAACATAACAGACAAACACAACTGCCAGTGTTAAATAAGCATAAAACAAAATTCATTAAGCGGATACTGAGCAGATAAATTACCAGTTATACATCAGCCGAAACCATTTGAGCCGGAAAAACTGAGAGCCGAAAAACGAAAATTGAAAACAAGAGTTGAATTACAACCAACAATAAACATTTGAATGGAACGGCCATTTAAAAGGCATACACGCTCGAAAAAAAATCTGTTGACAGGCAATCTCTTCTGTTGCTATCAGAACAACCGAGCTAGCTGATTCAACTGATATCCAAATTCCATAGTCTATATTCCAGTTTGATAACGCTTGCTAATCGCAAGCATAAAAAAACCAAAAAAGCCCAGCCGAACATTTAAAAAAATTGAAAACGAATGAAAAAAAATTGAGAAAAAACTTGGTCTAGCAAAATTCAAACCTTTGTATGTGTCGATAGATTTTCAATCGTCATTTTTAAATGTCAGGCAAACTTGCCAGACTTTTTAATAATAAATTAACATGGGAACAAAACTAACGAAGATGAATAAAGCTGCCGAAAAACATAAGATTTTATAAAAAAAAATTATCGAAATTTAACTCTAACTCCTACCTGAAACTACTATGAACAACATTTGCACTTGCAACTACAATAAAAGGTGCTTGGAGCACAAGAAAAATACGTGATCTGGCAACTTAGCCGACAAAACTTGAGCAGACAAACGAAAGTCCGAAAATTCAGTTACGAACAATTTTTTTTTCAATTACATGAATACTAAAAAACAAGATCCGGCTGAGACTCGAATACCAAATCTAAGGGTGCAGAGGCGACGGCATTACCCCTAGGCCAAGTGAGAAGGAACCTGAAAGCTACTAAGAGAGGAAAAGAAGTGCCTAAAGAAAAAGAATTTCTATAGGTTATTTATCACTCAGATTTCAAAAACTACTGAAATTTGAAAGGAAAACTTGCGCAAAATGCATCTGTTGGCCAAATCTGTTTGGTGGCTAACTGATTCAGTCATTTTCTCAAATTACTTAAGAACCAGCAAAAAATTACGTTCCGATTTGATACCGCTAGCCAATCACAAGAGTATATAAATGAAAATTCAAAAACCTACCAGGAAGCATAAATCAGCGAGGATATACAAAGGACAAGCTAATAGCCAAGCAACAATTATTCTGATAAAAAATATCAACTTTCATCAAGCGAGACAAATTTTTAGACTGACACAAGTTAAGATTACATAGCTAAGACGAATCAGCAAATCAGATTGAAAAAAAATTAAACAAATCGTTTTTCTAACAAAAAACATATGAGCAAAAACTGAGGAAAAACTACTTAGACCACTTTAAATTTCAAAAAGTATTCAAAAGAGTGCAAGCACAAAACGGACACTTCAAAAGACCGCTGAAATTAATCCGACAAAAAAGCAGACAGACAAAAGTTAAAAACAGCCGAAAATGTTCATTTCAAGAAATTAGCAGGTGTCAACCGAAATCAAGGCCATTGTCGCCCGCCTCCAGCAAGGGTATTACCACTGCTCAGAAGGCGCAGCACAATCCTCTGAGTTTAAATTTATCACCCAGAAGCAAATCGGAATTTCTTAAAAAATCGGTATCTAAAAAAAAGGTCCCACAAAAGTCCAATTATTCAAAACGACCATTATAAAAAAACGTTCCCGGCCGTGATTCGAACCGCGAACAAAGATACCCCAAGCAAGTGAAAAAACTAAAACCTACTTATAAAACTAAACATAGCCAAGTGACAGTTAGAAAAAAGCAATTAATGCAGCTTTCGAATTTCAAAGTAATAACACTGAAACGAAACTTCGCTTCGCAAACACTAGCGAGAACATGACAAAAAGCAGTTCTATGAAGTGCAATGAGAAAAGGTAGCCTCGAATCAGTTTAAATTTGGCTAGGTCTCGGATTCCATCTGCGACCTAGAGATTATGCCTCTCACGCACTAACCACTCAGCAACGCATGCTTATTACATCACAAACACTAACATTAAATGAAGCAGAGAAGAGATGCTATGAAAGTTCCAATGCTAGATCGCGATTATAACATAAGTGCCACCAAATAAGAGAAACACTTTCCACTATCAAGGAACAATTTTATTAGCGAGTAACCTTGGAAAAAAATGAAGGTTCGAACTAATACACTACGCTTAAATATATGGCCTTAACCCTCGGTGAATTTCAAGAAAAATAAAAGATCGAAACTTTTTTTATACAGTTAACTTAATTTGAGACAAGTGGAACAAAAGGTAAAGTTTTGATTCCGCTGGGAAAACTTAAATTTTATTTCCCTTTCAAAATAGAAATCTTTCAAGTTTTATAGCGCCAATTCCACGTTTGTATTCGAACACTTTCGTGAGATGAATTAAAATGAACTCAAAAAATGCATATACACCTAAGTGCACTCATAAATGCCTTAATATATATATATATATATATATATATATATATATATATATATATATATAAATGCACAACTGTAATTATTTCAGCACTCTAGGAAATTATCCTGAAAACATAGCCAATCGAAGATTCGAAAGGAGTAATGAACGCAAGTAAACACAAAAAACACTGACTTTCTTGAAAAAATATCACCTTTCGAATTTCAACGAAAAAATAGATGCCCTTTAAGCTCTTTGAACTTCTAGAACAATTTGTAATTAGCGCTTTTTTGATAACATGAACCCAACTAGAGAAAACTGAATCAATAAGTAAAATTTAGGAAATCTAAAAACTACATTTCACTTTCAAAACAAAGTATTCACATTTTTTTTGCGCAATTTCCACGTTCGTATTAAGAGAGTGCTATTTACATCCATTTCAGCAGATGAAATTCAATTGAATACTCAAAAAGTGCATTATACCTAAGTGCATTCATAAATGCATCAATATGTATGAATGCACATCTGTAGTTATTAGACTTTTATGCACATTTTAAGACTTTTTCCTGAAAAAAAAACTCAACAAGACCTATATAAGAGTCTTCACTGCGTTCATTACTCTTAAAAAAATAACTCATCAAGACCCATCGTTTATTCACTTCGTTTATTACTCTTAAAAATATTCACGTTTTTCGCTCAATAGGAAGAAGAATGGAGTGAAAAATACTTTTTCTTCATTGTAAATATGGTCTATTCTTGGTTCATTGAGACTTCAGTTATCAAGAGGCGGCCTGTAACAAAAATTGTCCAAGGAAAAGCTTCTCGTTGGTGAGACACTTAGGGAGATGAGATAATTGGCAACAACATCCCGAAATGGACAAAAACATAGAATTTATCGAATTAAACATCGAATAATTTTTCTTATGTTTGTCTCAAATGCGGTTCAATTTGAGGAACGTTGCTATAAAACACAACTGTCAGTGTTAACCATGCAGATAAAAATATCAGGAGGCCCGGCTGAACTCCCACCGTTAATTATCGCTTTTTCTGCAGTATCCCAGTGATCGCTATTTTCCAGCGCTGATTCATGTATAATTCTTTTGCATAGCTAAATCTGCGATATTTCAGAGCTATTTCAGTAATGATTCCGTAGAAAATCATCGCTAAAACTTGGGAAATTTTAACTATTCTAGTACCTTTCATATGAAAGTTTTAGTTGATAAACCTTTAACTTGAGTATACCTATTGATCGCCCAGATGTAGCAGACATGTCTACAAAGCATGAGGTAGCAGACATGAAATAATGAGGGATCGAACTCCTGTTAGAGCACTATTTTTGCTCATTTTTTGATAGGTTTTTTACAGTTCTTTCATCGCTGAAAATAAATCAAACTAGCGATACTTTATCGATAAAATTTGCTATTGTGGCAATGAACATCGATAATTCATCGATGGCGATCGCTATTTTTTTTTCCACTTTTTTATGGCTAATTTTCAATGTGAGCTCAACCCGGGGGTAACTAAGCAGAAAAAAAAACATGGGAAAAGGTTAGCTGAAAAACATATGAAACTATTAAGTTGTATTCCAAACATATAAAAGCATTGATTAATTTCAAAACATTATCGTCTTTCGAAAAACAACTTATGAGGCAACCTGCCCTTTTTGTAGAATGGAGTTATAAAGTGCTGATTTAAATTAACGGACAAAACGCGTTTAACTTGAAATTTAAAACGCATTTTTCTCAACACAGCCACGATCCATGAATCTCGAAATGCCGTGCATTGAGGTGTCTCTTTTTTCCCGATCTTGTCTCATGCGGCCAGTTGTTTCCGGGGAAAACGGGTATTTGTCGAGTCTTCAGAAGAGCATATTTCTGTCCATCAGTTGCTGACGAAGGATCGCCCACAAAAACACCAATGTCAGCAGGGGTGTCCGTTGAAGCCTCATGGACTGCAGGTTGGGTACCAGAAGTGCTAGGCTGATTCTCGGTCACGACATCTGATTCTGTCACGGGAGACTGGGATAGGTCGCCTGAAACAAAACGTAGAGTTCCACAAACGATCAAAACGCTAACCAATAAAACAAAATTTTGATTGAAAAAATAATGAAAATAAAAATTGAAACTCACTGGATTGTGATGCTTGTGGAGTTGAAAAACCAAAGAAGGACGTAATCTTTGAGGATGACCTCGGTGACGGATTTGTTGTCGAACTGCGTTTAGACATTACTCTGAAAGTGAATTTGAGTGGAATGATTTTGTAAATTTAGCGTTCAAATATATACTGAATTTTGCGGCCAAAAAAACAAGTGTTAATAACATGTGTGAATTTCAAAGGACTCAAGTTTTCGCATCATTGTATTTCAAAAGTATTCATCCAGAACCGCTAATCACACATATTTCTGAAAAAGGCGACAAAATGAGGCGTGAATTTAACAGCTGTGACTCATTTTCGGAAAATCGCATTATGTTAGAAAGTGCCCCCCCGTTGAGAAAATCCTAGAATCGCGCCTGCTTATGAAGACAAAACTTGCTGAAAATTTCAGCAGAATTAATATGCTGTAATTTGTTTTGCGAAATTCGGGCCCGAAATTTTACCAAAATGGGTCATTTTGCTTTTCTTAGTTAATCAAAAATTACGCCGAAAATACCCAGTCGATCACAGGCATAATTATATGAAAGTGAGCCCCTTATGTAGCCCAACAAACTTAAGGAAGGGTATAATCTCCAAAAAAAGTTTGCAACCCATTTGAAAATTGTTTTTAAATAAACAGTTGGTATTTTATATAGTAAAAACGACCTTTTGTCTATCAAAAAAAAATAAATTAAATTATACAATGTTTTGAAGAATATACCTTTCTTAAAGTTTGTTGGACTACGTGAGGGGCTCACTTTGATATAATTATGTCTGTGATCGACTGGGTATTTTCGGCGTAAATTTTGATTAAGAAAAGCCAAAATGACCCATTTTTGGGGTAAAATTTCGGGCCCGAATTTCGCAAAACAAATTACAGCATATGAATTCTGCTAAAACTTTAAGCAAGTTTTGTCTTCATAAGTTTTCACCTAAACTCAACCCATTTCGAGAAAAACGGGTTTTAAATTTCAAGTTTAACGCGTTTTGTCCGGTTAATTTAAAACAGCACTGTATTCGCGGCAGACATTCAACAAACTGTCTTATCTACAAACAGCCATATCTTGAAGCCGAAATTACATCACAAAAATACAAATTACATCAAAATTACGTAACAATTGCATAGCAACGATGGCAATCTCTTATGTTGCATAGCAGTAATTTTTGGAATGGTAATCTTTGTTTCGGCTTGTTGGCCTATCACCATATTCGCATACCTGTTGTACTGATGGAAGGTGTTTCAATTTGAGCAGATAGTAGAATATTCCTGCGTAGCCATGAGCACCTCCTACGTATTCACTCTCGTGCCATTCGTAATACATAGGCTGTTCTAATCAAGAAACAATGCATGAGAACTGATATTCTCTCGCTCCCTAACATACGCATTTTCAATAGCATTTATTTGATTATTATCCAAAATGTTTTTTTTTCAAATAGACTTTAAGGTTGTTTTAAAACACAAACTCTGGTTTTTTATCATGTTCCAGTACTTATATTTTACGGCGAGTACTTCTCTATTTTCACCAATTCGCACTCACAATTCGAAATCAATCGAGTCAAATTTAAGCAATTAGGCTTTAACATTTTTTCTAGCTTTCATATTGGATCGATTCTAATTTGAAACTCACTCAATCGGTTATGTTTTGCACCACTAATTCCGCTTTCAATCATCACTTTGCAAATTTGATCCATTAAAGCTTCGTCTTTGAAATCTGGAAAATGTTTCCCCATAAACACCAGACAGCCCAAATACCCAGCTCTTCCATACAGATATTCATCATATATCTTTCCTCCTTGACGAGTTAACACTTCTCCCGCATCTATTACTCTTTTAAGGTCACCTCTTTGACCTTTTTTGACCTCATCGGCAGCTAAAACTTTAACAAACATTGAGCCTGGATCGCCACACAAAAATGTACATGCAGATGATTTTCTCGAATCATTGTGTTTTGTAATTTTGAATGCTACGTCATGTAGATTTTCGCTTAATCGGTTTTTGAGAATGCCACTGTTTTGTAACTTCATAAGCATCAACGCAATGCCAGACAATCCTGTGTAAACTGAAACATCTTTGGACGAAATATTTCCATCTCGCAACTGTTCAAGGATGATTTGAACTTTATCGAACAAGAAATCTTCCACTTTTTTAGCGAAGTTCGGAGGAATAACTTCTGCTTTGGAGGAAAAACTAATCGGTTTCTCTTTCAAGAAAGGGTTATCAAATGAGCGTTCATCGAATGGCATCTGTTTACATCTGAAAAACAAAATAACATGGCATTAAAATGCAAGAAATACTAACTTAATTAAGAGTCAGCAAATATTTTTTGCAGACGCAGTTATTTTCAGACAAAGTTAACCCTTCAATACCAACCCAAACTAAAAATTAGTCAACATGTATTGAGAACCTATTTTAAATCAAAATTTCAACTGCTTCAAGTTTTCTGGACTAGAATATAAGAATAAACTTTAATACAATATGAAATAGTCCAATCAAGTTTCCATCTCAACTGTGTTTTCAAGTTCTCCGATATGTTCAATTGTACATTTAACTGTATCCCCTGGTTGAAGGAACTGCGGGGGGTCCCTGAACGCCCCAACTCCTCCCGGGGTCCCAGTTAGTATGACATCACCAGGGAGAAGTGTGATCAGACTCGAGATGTAGGATATCAACTGGGGGATTTTGAAGAGAAGCATTTTCGTATTGCTGCTTTGCCTCACTTCCCCATTAACTGAGCAGCTGATGTCCAAATTGTGCGGCTCAGCTATCACTTCTTTGCTCACAATTGCAGGGCCTATGCAATATGATCAACCTTTGAATTCATTTCAGACACCACCGAGGCTAGACCTCATAGAAAATGCGTTTGCTTGATTCAACTCTTCAACAACGTTTCGCGAGCGGTAATGGCGGGAATTTTTGACATTTATTTTATTTTTAAAAAGAATAACTTTTTTTGCTTAATCCAAATGTTTTTGGTTTCAGATAGGTAGTTGTACGCAGGGTTGGCATGTTATTTAACATTGCTATTTAACATTGAATTTAACTTACAGTGTTATTTATATTTTCTAACAGTGATGTTAGCTATTTCTTAGAAATATGAGTAATTCTTAGAAAAACACAACGCATGCATTTCAGATTCAAATTTGCTAGCGTTAACAAATTTGAGATTCAAATTTGCTAGGTGGGCATCTGGTGCTCGTTTGAGCTTCGATAAGAAGTCTGGTCAGCGCATGCCCTGCAGCTTCAGGGCTTGAGAGGTGCTTTTCCACCCTGCGACTGACGTATGGGAAGCTTCGTGCTCAACTCGGCGTTGAGAAAGCCGGAAAGTTGGCGTTTCTGTTCAAGAAACTCAACTCTCGTTGATTTGTTAATTTAATTAGCAATTTAACAAAAATAACAAGTTTTTTTTCGAAAAATAACAGTTAGTTTGTTATTTTTGTTTTTAACTTACATTTTGCCAACCCTGGTTGTACGTCAATATTGTCTTTCAATGAAGTTAAACATTAAATATAAATTCTTGTACACATCAGTATCCTCTAACACAGAGGCGAAGTTGCTTTTCGCATACACAAGCAAAAATATGACCGACAACGCTATTGGAAAAAACTGAATGAGTACAACTTTGAGTCCACAAAATTTCTTAAGTGACGCACGCCAATTATGTGTCTACATAATTGCTAAGTAACGCAAGCCAATTATGACGCATTAGCAGTACCAGTCAATTTGAAAAAAAAAGAAACTTACTAACTAACATGCCTCTATATATAGGGCGGACGCATTTTAACTAGTATACGAAGAATTTCATTAAAAACATCAGACCCTGCCAAGGTTCGAATCCTATTATTTTGCTTTTGGTCTCCTTCCCTACCTCTAGGCTAAGGATCCATGATGCCTTGAAGCTTAAGTGCTCTTTGTAATATAATAGTCTGTGTTAACATCCATAGCTTGGCTGTACTTAATAGCATCAAAATTAACACTTTCAAAATGAACACATTTTGTCGCAACAATTGCATCGCAACAATATTTGCGAATTTAAGTTGAAAAAAAAAGAAAATTCATACTATAATACAAACTTTCAAAATGAACACATTTTGTCGCAACAATTGCATCGCAACAATATTTGCGACTTAAGTTGAAAAAAAAAAGAAAATTCATACTATTACACACACTTTCAAAATGAACACATTTTGTCGCAACAATTGCATCGCAACAATATTTGCGAATTAAGCTGGGAAAAAAAGAAAATTCATACTATAACACAAACTTTCAAAATGAACACATTTTATCGTAACAATTGCATCGCAACAATATTTGCGAATTAAGTTAAAAAAAAAAGAAAATCCATACTATAACACAAGCTATGCTTCTGTAATAAGATTAGAAAAACATCATTGTTGTGGATTAATTATTAGGTAATTTGAAATTTTACATGAAATTTCACCATTCGGTTGCCACTGATACGATCTTTTTTCAACAATAGCAAGAAAAAATCTTAAATTTCACCATTGTTCAACTACAAGTGATACTATTTTTCAAATTAGTTCATTCATTATTTCATGATTAAAGAAGTCTCGTGCATACAGTTTACGGAAGTTTTAAAAGGAGTTTTTTATGTATTACCCTTTACATTTTTCAGCGAGGTAGAATTTTATATTTCAACTGTTGGAATGAATTAGTATTTTATTTTCTTACAAGCTGGCAATAATTAGTTGACCAATTGAAAAATGGGGAGGATGTCGGTATTCGGGTGTGTTATAGTTTTCTTTTCCACACAAAATCAGCTACCACAAAAAATCATCGCAGAGAGTTGAGTGATATATCATATTAATGCACTTCAAAAAAAATTCCAGTGTCGAGAAGAACCGGTTAGAAATTTTTGGTTGTTCGCCTTAATTCGAGCGAATAAAGCGAGCGAGCAGATTTACAATAGCTCATTTCAATGGCTTAAAAGCTTCAATAGCTTAATTTGAAGGGTAAAAAATTATTTTTACTTGAGTAACGTTAGTTTTTTTTGAATATTTTAGCGTCCTTAAGGAATCAAAAACTTCAAAAATTCTACAAACTGCAAAAAAAAATACAAAAATGGATTTTTTTCTAACCATGTTTCTACAAAAATTTTCGTTCAATTTGCTTATTTTACCATGACTGTCGAATATGCTGAAGGTTTTCGTTCAGCTCCTTTTATGACACCACGCCGAAAAGGACACTAATTTGAAAAAACTTGTTTGTTGTGTTTTTCCTAAAGTATGGTCGAAACATTCTGTGCAACTTGCACAGTCACCGGCTATTCTTGTTATTTTTTAAAAATAGCATATTAGGTTTCGATCAAGGAACATGAGTATCGACAAATTTTTTTTAATACAAATTGTGTTAATAACAACATAAATGTTGTCTCGAGATTTCCTTCAACACGACCAAGAAACTATATATCCAGCAACAAATAGTGGCGTGAAGAGCTTATTCCGATAGAAAAAAAATCAATTTGCAAGGAGAGCTCAGACTCAAAATTTCACAGCAATCAAAAAAAAATTCTCACAGCAACCGGAGTTGTGCAGCAAAAGTTGAGAAATGAAAAATCACCAATCCGACGGAATATAACTAGTGATTTGCAAAGAGTGTAAATTATTTCACGAGTTATAGATAGAAGTCAATTGATTTTTGTAAAAATGCGGTTTTAAATAAGTAAATCAGTTCAATCGTAGATTTAGTTCAAGTAGAAAGCTGAGATGTCTTTTTTAGGCTTCAACATTCCGCCTCCCTTGAAGTATTTTCAATTTTCAGATCGTTATTATGTCTGGGTACGACTATCCATTCACAGTGCACGAGACAAAGGAGAGAAAGAGCAGGGCGGAGTCGGGCAGAGCACCACGTCTGCCTCCACATGGCGAGGTGCGAAGGTCCAGTAGGCGGGGCGCTGTCGACCGGGAGCACCTGCAGGGTTTCTTCGATGCAGTGACCAGAGGAGATCTGGGTTTCACTCCGATTCCTGTAAAGTCGTTGGATGAGATCCAGTCTTCAAGGAAGGAAGCTGCAATCGTGGATAGGGCAGTTCTGCGGTTTCCGAAAGCTGAGACTGTGAGTAGCATTTATTCCATTGTATCATAGTAGTAGAGTATAGCGGGTGTGCATCAATTGTTTGTTTTGTTTTAGAAGCAACTTAGAGGTCTTAAACGTATCAGTGACCTCAACGTAGAAGGGTCATTGTTCACTGGCTGGGAGGTTGGAGTTAACTGTCGAGAGACTCCTAGTGTGACAGCTAAGGGTGTTATTGGCGTCATGTCTGGAGGTCAGACCAGATGGCCAAAGCAGGTCTTTTCTTCTCTTCTCCAAGGTATTTTTGTAGAGTCCTCGTCCTTCCGGACTTTCCATCAAGACTTGGATGAGGAAGATGATGCTGTTTTGAGTCTTCTGGGGGGGGGGGGGGGGGGGGGGGCCGAAAGTTGTGGCTGATGACATCTGAAGTTAATCTCTCTGGTGAACTTGAGCGCCTGGCCGGTAGCAATGATTCGGAGATGGGGTTCACTGATGCTGCTAAGTATCTGAGGAACCTTGGTCCTCGGCAGAAGAAACTAGTCCACTATGGTGTTCTTGAGGAGGGGAAAAGTTTGTATCTTCCATATGTGTGGTGCCATGCAGTTCTGACTCTCTGCGACGAAGAGAGGGTCTGCTGTATGTACTATGCGGAGATGCAAACTAGACTTTCCTTGGTAGCATCTGCGTGGAAGCGCTGCCAGCAACACTGCAGGGTCAACAAGCGAAGAGGACCAGATGACAGCGAATGACTGTTCAACGGTAAATATGTTAACAGTTATTCAATAAATGAACTAAATGTGACTGCACCATAAGTAAGGAGTATACAAGTGAAGTATTAACGGTACGAGTCATGAGCGAAAGTTTGTGTACTTAGAAAAAACATTTTATGCGAATTAATGGTTGTAAATCATTACAATACGACATCTTTGAATATAATTTAAAGGCAAATATAACAATTTAACAGTTGACGTGATCAGAGAGCCTATTGTTACATTCAAGACAGTAGTGTAGGCGTATCCTAGCTGTCTTCAGACAATAATTTTATTTTGGGTCATGAGGGTACAACCTCATACGAATTTTAATGCACGATTTAGCACAAAAATTGATGAAAATTTACATCATTTTCGACTTTTATGAACATACAACATTGGGAATTTACATGAAAGTGGTCAATATGAACGATTCAGACCATAATGCATTGCATAGGGGGTAATTTAGGTTCCTACTCTCAAAAGGGTCATGGGGGTACTACCTCTTAAAATTTGAAAACTGCACATTTTTGATATTTTTCGATTTTTTTTAGCACTATAAAGTTCTTGTTTTAAAAGAACTGCACATTGGATATGACTTGGTTGCTATACTGGTAGCTTCCGCAGCTTCGCGACTGGGCGTACGTATTCACCAGTTGTGGTCTTCACTTTTACCACTCGAACAATTGAGTCATTTCCAGGATAAACTTCTATGATTCGTCCAGTTTTCCATTCTAGCGGTCGTTCATTGTCTTCGGCAAGTAGGACTAGGTTGCCAACTTTAAATTCTGGGCCATCCGTGAACCATTTTTTCCGTATTTGTAGCGTTATGAGATAATCCCTTTTCCAAACTTTCCAGAAATCCTTGATCATATTCTGTAATAGTCGATATCGTACATTGGTTGAAACTTGGATGTCCGCAGAGGGAAGAGTTAGCAATGATTCCCCTATCAGAAAATGAGCGGGTGTCAGCGGAGTTGGGTCGTTAGGATCACTTGACATTGGATACAAT